GTAGGCAGATGTTTGAGTCAGCACAGTAGCTAGAGAGCTGAGAGGGTTCACAGCCACCTGCTGGCAGCTTCCAGTGATTTCTGTAGGAGGATGATCCGATCAGTACATTAGCAGCAGAGCTGACAGGGTTCACAGCCACCGAGGTGCGATTACAGCAGAGGGGTTTTAACCCTTGGACGCTCGAGGGCTTGCCAACCTGAGGCCAGCTTTCCACAAGAGCTGGATGCAGGGAACTGCGACTCCCTCTCAGGAGGAGTGACTCTGGCTCCAAGCCTGCCATACAGCGGGTATCTTCACGATACTGAACGCTGCTGTCTGGGCCGGCCTGCCATGTAGCCGGTGCCCTTTCAGGCAGGGGCACTACTGCCTAGGCCATTGATTCCTGTCCTAGTATGACTGTTTTTCCCTTAAATCATGCTCTGCACCGTGTCTGCTCTTCCCTGTCCTAGTATGACTGTTTTTCCCTTAATTCATGCTCTGCACCGTGTCTGCTCTTCCCTGTCCTAGTATGACTGTTTTTCCCTTAATTCATGCTCTGCACCGTGTCTGCTCTTCCCTGTCCTAGTATGACTGTTTTTCCCTTAATTCATGCTCTGCACCGTGTCTGCTCTAGACATTCCTCCACCTATGAGCTAGGGCATAATTTTATATATACATATATGTGGAAATAACTGAGTGGTAAGACATTCTTCAGGCGCTAATTGTTCCGACTAATACATGTCGGACTAATTGTTAAACTAATACATGATTATATTTAAAGGAAATGACTGAGTGGTAATACCAGAAACTAAGATATTCTTCAGGCACTAATTGTGCAGGGGATCTGCTTAGCTCTCCTTCCTGGCTGCCCAGATGGGGGGTTACCCACAGTGCTAGGTGGGGGATGTGGTGCCCAGTTACGTCCCAGCCCCTTCCCACCCCAGGCCAAGCCAGAAGTGCAGGCCAGCTGGCCTTCTGGGCACAGGCCGGAAGCCTCACTCCCGGCTTGCAATCCCGACACCTGTGAGTGGCTCAGCCCCTGCAGATGCTCTTGGGCTGTGCTGAGCTGCCCGGCCCCCACCCCTGCAGCCTCTCCCTCCCTCAGGCCCCCTGTGGACTGTGGCTGAGCCCACTCCACTAACTCTCTTCCCAGGTCCCTGACAAGGTCCAAGCCAAACACTGGCCCTCGGAGCAGGACACAGAGAAGTAAGTCCCCCCAACCCCGCTCCCCTGCCCCCTGCCATTCCCCGAAGCTGCGGCCTGTTCTGCTGGACCCTTCTAGAACCTGGAGTGGACAGGACGGATGCAGAGGGGAGCCCCACCCAGAAACTTTCGGGAGGAGGTGGCACTCCAGTCCCTACAGGGATCTGTCAGCAGAGCCTGGTGCCAGAAGAAGAAAGTTCAGCTGGGGGTCCTGGGGGTCCTGGGCGTCTCTCGTGGGAGAAGAGAGCTCAGCTGGGGGTCCTGGGCGTGTCTCGTGGGAGAAGAGAACACAGCTGGGGGTCCTGGAGCTGCAGGGGGTCTCCCCCAATTCAGCATCCCCATAGCCCCCAGGACAGCCTGTGCTCCAGGGCTGGTGGCTGCAGCCAGGGCGGCTCAGTCTTGGATCCTGAGGTTTTCCCACATCCTTGACCTTGGGATGCTGCTTAGCCAAGGCTCTGACGACTGCCCCCAACCCAGTGGCCCAGGGATGTGGTAGGGAAGCCTGGCCAGGAGCACTGTGGGGGCCACCATTGCTGTGGCTCTTGAGAGAGGGGCTTGTCCTGGCTGCTGGTGGTGGGTGCTGGAGCAGCTGCCTTGGGACAGTGGGGACCATCCTAGGAGGGGTTCTGTCTTCCTCCCCCACCTGCATGTGGACCTGACCCAACTGTGTCTGCAGGGCCCAGGGCGCCCGTGAGGTGGAGCCTCCGGAGAAGGACGACCAGCTGGTGGGGCTGTTCCCTGTCCAGAAGCCAAAGCTCTTGACCGCCGAGGAGAAGCCACTAGGTCAGGGCAGGGCCCCATCCTTCCAGGCAGGCACAAGACCAGAGCAGCAAAGTCTGCTTGTGGGGTCAACTCAGACAGACCAAGGGTCTCGGGAGGGAAACTGAGGCTATGCCTTCATCTGCTTGTCCCTAGGCACCAAGGCCTGGGTGGAGACTCAGGACATCCTGGGCCATGTCCTGAGCCCCCAGCAGGGTCCTGAGCCTGACTATGATGGCCTGTACCACCCTTCACCTGAGGAGGACCAGGGTGCGGAGGAGCCCCAGTTGTGGGTGGTGCCAAATCGCCAGGTGCTCCAGGGACCAGAGAAGGACCAAGACCACATCTACCACCCCAAGTAGGGCTCCAGGGGCTATCACTGCCCATCCCTGTCCCGAGCCCCAGGCTGTTGGGACTGGGACCCTCCCTCCCCTCCCAGCTAGACAAATAAACCCCTGCAGGCCTGGTGCGGTGGCTCATGCCTGTAATCCTAGCAGTTTGGGAGACTGAGGCAGGAGGATCACCTGAGGTCAGGAGTTTGAGACTGGCCTGGGCAACATGGTGAAACCCCATCTCTACTAAAAACACAAAAATTAGCCAGGCGTGGTGGCAGGCACCTGCAATCCCAGGTATTTGGGAGGTTGAAGCAGAAGAATCACTTGAACCCGGGAGGCAGAGGTTGCATTGAGCTGAGATCGGGCCACTACACTCCATCCTGGGTGACAGAGCAAGACTCTGTCTAAAAGTAAATAAACAAATAAATAAATAAACCAACCCCTGCAAACAGGTGGGAGGCCACCTCCCTGGAAGGCCAGTGACCGGGCCGCCTGCTCTGCTGAGGAGCCCCCAAGGGCTGCACAAGGCCCAACTGACCCTTGGCTCCCAGAAGGTTGTGCTCCCTGAAGGCCCTTGTCCTTGTGTGGCAGCAGTTAGGGGTTGGGACCAGAGGGCGCCCCTGGGACCAGTCTCAGCTGAGAAACAGAACCCACCCTGGGCTCCCTACAACTGGGCTGGGGAGGAGGGAGGCTGAGTGCACGGACTCGGGGCCCAGCTGGATGAATGTGCATGTGTTCAGCTGGACAAACGCACAGGTGCTCAGGTCTCAGGTGGGTGGGGTGGGCCCAGGCCCAGGACATGTCCCTTCTGCCCTCTCGGCGTTCTGTGCAGCTCCTGCTCTGGGCGCCCGTCCTGCCAGCCTGGCCTAGCAGGCCCAATGCTGCAGCGCGGGTCCAGGCTACTGGAGTCACTCACACCCCGACCTGGTGCCAAGCCCAGGCTGAGCCACGCACATGTCTTAGACAGCAGCTAAGACAGAATGGAGTAACAGAAAGAGGCCACCCGTCTCTCCATCCTGCTGTCTCAGCCCTCCTGAGGCCATTCGGGGCCGTGGGCATGTGCACCCCGGGCCAGGCCCGCCCTCTCCCAGGACACCAACAGCTGAGAGTAACTGTCCGAGGGTGCCCCACGGAGTCCCACCATGCAAGAGCTGCTACCCTGCCCTATGGATGAGCTGGGGAGGCCGGGACCTTCAGGGTTCTGTCCTGAAAGGGCCAGGGCTGGGCTCCCTGGTTTCCCCTCCACAGCCTCCCACGCCATCCAACGGGGTGGGAGGGCATCGAAGATCAACACGCCCAGGGCTGCGATTTGAGCAGCTCCTTCCCCACTCCCTGGGCCCCAGGCAGGTAGAAGACCTGGATCTCTGGGGCTGCAGGAGGCTCTGGCCTGAGGCAGCCCAAGCTAGTGTTAGGCTTTTTTTCTTTTTTTTTTTTTAGCTATCTTGATTTTATTTTGTTTACCCATTAGTTTTTTTTTTTTTTTTCTCATAACTTTATTTTGTTTGCTCGTATTTGGTTTCATGCATATAAAATCCTACAGTGCACACTAGCCCCAGAGGTCTGTCCGTGGGCTGGGCCTGGGACTGAGTGAGGGTGCAAGCAATCAGCTCCCAGCTTCTGACGTCAAACCACACGCCGCCATGGGGTCTGGAGACCAGCAGTGGCTGGTCAGACAAGTGCGAGGCCCATGGGGCTGACCACTAGTGGCTGCGGAGAAGGCCTGGGCTGCCATCTGGGAGCAGCAGCTGGACAGACCCCAGAGTCTGCAGCCAAACCCAGACAGGGACCCTTCCCCAGACCTGGCGCCAGCTCTTTGCCAGGGCGGGCTCGCCTGCACACCCCCCCGGTTCTTAAGCCCAGACAGGGTTCTTTCCTCAGACTTGGCACCAGATCTCCGCTGGGGTGGCTTGTCTGCACCCCATGGTTCTCCTGTGGTCTGGAGTGTGGGTCCGAGACCCTGGGACTCGCCCCCTAGAGCGCTGGGGAAGCCCCTGTCATTCCCACTCCCGCCCTTGGTCCCTCAAACTCCAGCCCCTGCCCCGTCTTCATTCTATACCTATGACGCTGAGGCAAGTTCTGGGGAGAGGCGGGAGGGTCCTGGGAGAGGCCCAGGGTCTGAGCAGTGGCTGGTGGTTATTCTTCCCTATCCTGGAGACCAGTCCAAGCATCCCATGGGGAAGCCTCCTAGGCACCCCCTTTCAGGACCCCCCTGTATCCCACCTCTGGCTAGCAATGGACTCTAAATGACCTCGAGTCCTTTACCTCCCCTGCCTGACCAGACAAGTAAGGGTCCCGGGAAGGAACCTTACTTCACCACCCATTGCCACAGGCACAGGGCACAGCCCACACCCAGGCCTCTCCAGCCGGCACCTCCCTCACCAGTGCCCCTCCCAGCTCCCATAGTTCTTCCTGAAGCATCCAGGCCAGCCCTGCCACCTGCCCTCCTGCTGGGCGGAAGGAATGGACCCGGTGAAGAGCCCCGTTAGTGCCCCAAACCCTGGGGGCTGAGGCTGAAGTTCCCACCCCACTCAAGGCCTCCAGGGCAGCTACTGCCCCTACTCCAGCCCTTGGTGTCCCCAGGGCACCAGGCACCCTGCCCAGCCCCCAAGGCCCCAGGCCTGACTTCCCTCTTGAGGTTTCATCAAGGGTACATGCGGGGCTAGCGCTGGAACCAGCAGCCTCCCTTGAGCTCAGCACCAAACAGGTCTGAGTGAGAACAGAGCCAGAATTGAAACCTTTAATCTGAATGTCGACTGCGACTACATTTTTCCATCATTTTTACAAATTGGGGGACTCTCATCCCAGTTGGCAGGGCACGCCCCAAGACTGCCGGCCCCTAAAGCCCTAGCCCGGGCCCAGGTCTAGGAGCTGCCGCTGGCAGGCCTGCTGTAAGTGGCGGTCCTGGAGCTCAGGTGCCCCTGGTTCCTCTTCTGGCCCAGTGGTCTTCACCAGGCCTCGAGCAGGGAGCTGAGGGCAAGCACCCCCTTCTTGAGAATGAGGTTTCCATAGAGGGCCGTCTCCCTGCAGAGGAGCCAACCTCAGCACTGAGCTGGGCTGCAGGGCTGGGGCACCAAGACCCTGCTCCAGCCTCTGGGGGCCAGAGCAGACCCTGTCTACCTTCACCCACCTGATGCTCAGGCAGATGGGGGCCCTGCCCACCCAACTTCCTCCCTGGTCTCTCCACTCTGCGGGACATCTAGCCTCAGTCAGGCAGAAGCTGAGAAGAGGGTGGGGGCAGCTCCTGGGGACCCTGGTGGGGACAGGGGCAGGTCTGGACCAGCCGGAACTCACCCAGTTGCCACAACAGCAAAAGCCTTTTTAGCCCTCTCATAAAACTCAAACCTCTCCATCTTTGCCAGGGCTTTCTGGAAGACAAAATGGCAGGGTTGGAGGGAATCTTGCCCTGAAGTCCTCATGGGCCAGCCCTGGACTCCCCAGGGCCCCAAGCAGGGTGGGCACCAGGAGGTGGGGCCCCTGAGCTCCATTTCCTGGGCCCTCCTGCTGCGGGGGCCCCGGGTACACTCAGCCTCTGGCTCCCAAGTCCTAGGATGGGGGCCCTAGGAGATGGTGGAGGAACCATGCTTGGTGTCTGCCTGGCCTGGGGCCACCCAGCCAGCTCAGCAGACTGTGGAGCCCCTGCCAGCTGTCCTGGGGTGTCCCTTGCCCAGGATGAGAGCCCCTGGCCTCCCTTTATGGAGGCCCTGCCTGAGGCCTGCCAGTGGGTTGCCCAGGAGAATGGGCCTGTCCCCTTGCAGGGCAGGGTGGGAGGGGGCTGTGTGACACAGCACCCAGCTAGGCCTCTGACCGTAGGCATGATGGGGCAGGAGACCTGGGATGGGGGCACCCTCCCAGGGGAGATTGAGGAGGGGGAGGCCAGGCATTCTGAGTCCCTGGGCTCCACTCACAGGCTGTGGTGGGTGAGGCACCCCCCACCCCGGCAGGTCAGGATACTGGCAGGGGCAGAGGAGGAGGGGCCAGGTGCACCACTTCCACCCTGACTGGTGAGGGAGTACCCGGTGGTCTGGGGTTCTTAGGGTGATGGGTGGGAGACCGCTTGAGGACAGAGCGTGGGACTCTGCTTTTGGCCCTCCTGAGCCTCCAGGAGACAGAGGGTTCCTGGCCCCTTCCCCACAGTTGGGGCTGCAGGCTCACCGAGCAGCCGGCCTTGAATAGGATGGACTCGTATTGTGTCCACACCGGGGTTTGCAGGCCCCTCTCCTTGTCGCTGGGCACCAGCTCCATGACTGCAGCCTAGAAGGAGGGGTCAGCTGGGGTCTTGGGGGTTGCCAGCCTTCCTGGTCAGGTGACCAGTTGGGACTCCCCTGGCGAGGGTCAGGACCCTTTTGGGGACACATGGCTTCCCACTCCTCCAAGGTGGGTGGGCCCTATGAAGCCTGACAAAGGGGAAACTGAGGCGCAGAGCAGCAGGGTGCAGGGGTGACTCAGCCCTCACCGGACTCTCCGCATAGGTGTCCAGGGGCAGCAGCTTCAGCACGGCCTCCAGAAGCTGCGGGATGCCCAGGCCTGGAGGGCAGAGGGTGTGGCACTGAGTCTCCAGCCTGCTCGCCCACCTGTCTGCACCCTTCACACCTGGGCTTCGCTGGCCAGCCAGCCGGCAAGCATGGACGTGGGGCCAGGACATGCCACAGAGGGGCTCAGAGCCGGGAGCACGGCCCTCCCGCCCTGCCCTGGGGGACCTGGGGCTCGCTCACCGTCTGCCCGGATCTCCATGGGCCCAGACTGGCAGATGGAGGAAGCCGGGAAGTTCAAGTCCGCGAGAACTAAACGGCCGGGAGGAGAGGACAGCCCGCGGTCAGCACCTGTCCCTCCCCTCGGGGTCGGCGCCACCCATCCTCCCACCCAGTCGTGGCGGCAGATCGTGGGTCACGAGGGGACCGGCCGCCGTCGGAGTCCTCAGGGCTGGAGGCGGGGAGGGCAAGGTCCGCGCCCGGGAGGAGGAAAGGCGTCAGCAGCTGCCCGCGAGGCTGTCGGGTCAGGGGCGTCCCCAGGGGCCAGAGGACGCGCGGCTGCCCGCGATGCCCGGACCAGGCCCCCAGCCACACAGCCCCTGCCCGGGACCCCAGGCCCCAGGAGGAGAAAAGCCCGAACCCTCGCGGGCAGCCCAGGCGCCGCGGCTTTCGGGCCGTCCGGGGAGGGACTGGCGGGAAGCTCGGGCCGTCCCCGCCCTGAAGCGGGGGTGGGGGAGGCCCGAGCAACGCCCCCCACCCCAGGACCCCGCCCTTCCCGGGCGCGGGGCGCGGCCGCAATAGTCAGCACGAGGTGACCAGGACCCCGGCCCAGGGGTCCCCGCGCGAGCCTCGCCTGCCTGCCTGCCCCGGGGTGGTCTCCGAGGCCCCGGCCCGCTGCTCTCACCGATCTCGTCCCCGTGCCCCATCCGCGCCAGCGCGTAGAGCAGCTCGGGGGACAGCAGCGCGGGGACTCCCTTCAGCGACACCATGGCCCGGCCGACGGGGAGGGCGGGGCCTAGCGCCGGGAGGGGCTGTACGGGTGAGGGTGGGGCCTAGGGGCCGGGAGTGGCTTTACGGGGAGGTCGGGGTTTGGGGTCACAGGCTTGGGGACCCGGGACCGGGCCTAGGGGTTGGCGGGCTGGGGTCCGCTTGCAGCTCGCAGAAGGGCGGAGAGCCCCGAGAACCTGGGGACGCGCAGGCTGAGTTGGGGCGTGGGGGGCAACACCCACCCAGCTCACGAGCGCCTCACCAGGTCCGAGCCTCTGGCGCCCGCGCATTGTGGCCGGGGGCTCCTCAGTGTCCCTACCCAAGCCTCCCACTTCGAGCTCCCTTAGGTCGAAGGGGTTCAGCTGCTGCCCCCTGCGGCCTCCTCTCATGAGGGTCTCTGCCCTCCGACCACGTCCTGCTGCCCTTAGGCCTGGCAGAATGCCTGGAACCCACTGGGTCCCTAGTGTTACAAGGGTGGGCAGCTGGACCTAGGCTTTAAGCCCACACTCCTGAGGGGCCGTATGCAGGAGTGTAGGACATCGGACCCCCTGGAGGAGGTCCAGGAGGGCAGCCAGGCGAAACTTCCAGGCTCAGCCTCGAGGGCCAGGACACCTAAGAGTCCTCCATCATCCCCCAGTGTCAGCAGCCTGCAGCCCCCTGCCCAGGACAGCAGCGTCCTGACCTTTGGCCAGGCTCAGGCTGGCTAGGCCCTCCCTCCATGGAGCTACCTTCTTCCACCTGATTCCCAGCTGGACACCAGATGTGGGCCAGCACTGTGGCCCTGGCCCTCAACCCTGGGGTGACACAATGCTCCAAGGCCTGGCAGTTCCTCAAAAGTTCTGAAAATAAGTTTGTGAAAAATGACAAAGCCATGTCAGAAAACCCAGAGGAAACAGGTCTCCATGTTGAACTGCTGGGCTCTAGGAGCCCGTCCCCACGGAAGTGACTTGGGCTACGTTGGAAAGGCCTAGTGGGGCCACCCAGGCTGGCATCCAGCAGCACCTGAACAGCTGGCCCTGGGCAGCCACCAGGGTCCCTGCGTAGAGACAGGAAGAAGGAGAAGCGTGGGTGCCAGGAGCTGGAGGGAAGCAGAAAGGGGTTTGGGAAAATGAAAAAGTTCTTGGACAGACGATAATGGCTGCACAATGAGAATGTACTTAATGCCGCTGAAATGTGCACTTAAAATGGTAAAGACCAGCCTTGGCAACACACGAGACACCAGCTGAAACAGCTGGCTGGGTGTGCCAGTGTGTGCCTGTGGTCCCAGCTGCTTGGGAGGGGAGGACCACCTGAGACCAGGAGCCTGAGGTTGCAGCCACTGTGCTCCAGCCCCATCTCTAGAAGACAGCGGTTTAAGATGGTCAAGTTCTGTGGCATGTGTTACCACAACAGAGAAGAAAGCACTGAAACTGAACAGAGAAAACAGGGTTTCCTTTGTGAGGAAAGGGCTCTGTGGAAGAGGGCATGGAGTACCACTTCCGTAACCAGGAAGCCACCGTGCAGGAGTGTGTGTGCGTGCACACAAGTCTCCAGGAAGCCACACACCCAGCTGTTCACGGTGGCTGCCCTGGAAGTGTGATGTGGGTGACTGACTGTGCAAACTTCTGCTTTGTTTGAAAGTCGTTGCTCACAAAGCAAAAAAGTCTAACAGAACAACACGACAGAATACTCCGCTTCTAGACATGACTACAGGGTGCGGTGTGACTGAATCGCTGTCACTCTAATGAGCAGAGTGTCTGTGAAGGCAGCAGCCAGTGTTTCCCTGGGAGCAACCCCGTTCTGCAGCACAGGGACACAGGCACCCACAGGGCTGCTTTCCGCCTGAGCACAGCGGGGGCTCCTCCGCAGAATCTTAGATTTAGAAGATGCTCCCGTCAGAGGCGAACACGGACCCCCACAGGCTGGGTGAAGGAGACGGCCGTGCTGTGAGGGCCGGGCCATGACCACACAGCAGTCGAAGAGAGACTGCACACCAGGGACGCTGCCCTTGAGAAGAGGGTGATTTACTTGCTTCTAAAACTGGCAGGCTACGCTTTTCCCCTCCAGGTAGAGGCGTGGGGCAGGGCGGCTGCTTCTCACTGGTCTCTGAAGTTGGCCTTTCTCTTTTCCACAAACGCGGCCATCCCTTCTTTCCGGTCATCCTGGTAGGAAAAAGGAGAGAAGCAGGTGGATGCCCAGTTTCCTCACAGAGCCTGATGCCAATGCCGTCCGGGTCTCCCTGGCCCTGCCTCCCTCCTCATGCTCACAGGGGCCCAGAGGGCCAGGGAGGGGACTCTGCAGCAGGAACTCCTGCCCAATCAGGGCTGGGCCAGGGCACGGGGACTTCTACTGCCTCTCTACCAGGCGGGCTGATGGTCATTCAGGAGCCACCGTGTATGTCAAATCAGCTCACATCTAAGAGCGTCAAATGCACGTCTGGCCATTCACCAAGTCATCAAACGGAGGACAGGTGACCTGTGTCAGGGGCTACCGTGTGTCATGGAGCAGGACATGAGAACTCAACTCTGCATCTGTCTTTTCCCATGCTGGGTACATGTGTGCACGTGTCCCAGGTGCACGCACACACACACGCACACACACACACCCCTGCACCCCTTCCTCAAGTGCCCACGCTACTTTTAATTTTTGTTTTACACAACAATTAAAACACCTAAGTATGACTTTCTTCCAGTGAAAAAGATGAAGTAAAATGGTAATCTGGCTGGGCACAGTGGCTCATGCCTATAATCCCAGCAGTTTGGGAGGCTGAGGCAGGCAGATCACTTGAGGTCAGGAGTTTGAAACCAGCCTGGCCAACATGGTGAGACCGTGTCTCTATGGGCCAGGTGGCGGGCACCTGCAGTCCCAGCTACTCAGGAGGCTGAAGCAGGAGAGTCACTTGAACCCAGGAGGCGGAGGTTGCAGTGAGCTGAGATCACACCATTGCACTCCAGCCTGGGCAACAGAGCAAGACTCTGTCTCAAAAAAAAAAATTATAATGGTAATTAGAGGAATTAGTTTAAATTACTGGCAGAAACCGTATAAAATAGTGCTCTACAGCTTCAGCTTATCTTCTTAGAATAAATGTGAACCCATTCCACATAGTTGGGACGGTCTAACGGAATCATGGGTAAAATGAATTGCATTTTTTACATTGAGGCCGGGCTTTGCTGTCGCCCTGTTGGACTCGAATGACCCGCCCAGCCTCCCAGGAAGCTGCGACTCCAGCTGCGCGTTACCCTCCTGCTGAAGCTGCTGCCTGAGGGTGCCATTCAGACCTTCAGGACAGTACGGTTTCCACGCTTCTGAACTTCCACACACTCTACTTTTGTGTTAACAGTAAGACCCACTGATAGAACGTATCTGGTCCCACGCAAGGAAAGGCTGACCGTTCTGACAGAAAGAAACGACACTTGATCAAATGTAGAAGTTTCCACAACTCGTGTGACTGGGATACGTGTGACTCTCTGGGCGGACACTGTTTACTCACAGTTGCAAAGGTTGAATAAAAGAGTTTCTTCTCCAACTTATTTCCTTCTGTTAATGTCATTTCAAAAGCTGGAAAATAAAAGTCCTGGAGTTATGAACCAAGGTGTTAAATGCAGAACCTTTCCTGCATGGTGACAGGAAGCCCTCCTCACTGACCCATGCACGCCTGTGCTTTCAATGTGGCCTGGGAAGCCCGGCCCCTCTCACAGGCCCTGCCCCACCTGAGGCCAGGCAGACAGCTCTTCTGTGGCCCCCAAACGTCACACCACTGACCCTGGGCCCCAGGAACGGAGAGGAGCTGGATCAAAGGTGGGATGGCAAACTGTGCCCATGAGGACAGGAAAGGCTCTGAGGCAGAAACGGGACTACAGGCAGAGAAAGCAACTGAGGACAAAGCCAGAAAGGACAGCACGGGGCCCAGAGCCACACGGAGCCGGCACCAAGGACGCCTGTGGCTCTACTCATTCCAGGCCCCTTCTCTGCGTGAGGCCTGAGTGCACAGGCAGAGGCTGGCGCTGCGGTTCCAGGCCTGGAGCCAGTGGCCTCTCCCAGCAGAGCACGACCTTGCCAAACGCCTTGGGCGACAGCAGCCTCTGTTTCTGAAATGCTCCCCTCACTGTATCCTGCCTCAAGCCAACAGCAAGCCCAGGGACAGCCACACTCAGGATAAACATACTCAGGGGGGCTAGGAACCTGCCTGGGGCCACCCACATCTGACCAGACTCAAGCAGCTAACAACCATCTCATTCCACATGCTGAGACTAAACGGTGACATTAAAACTAGAGCATTTCTGAGGAAGGTGAAGATCAGATCCACTTCTCTGGCAGAGGGAGAACTAAAGGAATCCAGGCCACAAATGAGCAGCATGTCTGTGTAGCCACCTGCCAGGTGCAGACATAGCCTGTAGCCCCATCTCCCGGCAAGTGAACCGAGCCTCCCTGTGAGCAAGACCATCTTACTTCTGGGACCCCTGCTCCCTTCTCAGCCTTTCCCTGCCATGACCTGTGCTGCCCTCACCTCCCAGGCCTGGCTCCGTTCTCGGGCCCTGGTACAAAGGGGAGCTGGGAACATCTCAGTGGAGTTCCTGAGTGCGTGGCCAGAAACCACCATTCTACAGACAGCAGAGCTGAGACACTGAGAACCCCACCATCTACCAGGAGGGCTTCAGGCACACTCATTTGCAGCCAGAAATCTCGCCCCCAGGAACAGTGCTGTCAGCCACAGAGACCCCTGTACTTTCTCCTCCTGGCAGGACCCCCTACCTGCATTCACTGATTCTTTGGCTATTGCTACTATGATTTTGGAATTGCTGGCAATTCTTTCTGCACACTGGATGGCTTCTTCCACCAGTGTCTCAACTGGAAAAATCTTGCTTACAAGACCTGAAACACAAGAAAGTCAGTGAGTGATGTGCAGAAACAGTACGTAGCTATTCCTCTGCGAGCGAGTGGCCTCTGGGGAGCAGCGTGGAGCACCCCGGCCTCCGAGCGCTGGGCGAGGGCGGCTTCCACACGGGAGCACCCCGGCCTCCGAGCGCTGGGCGAGGGCGGCTTCCACACGGGAGCACCCCGGCCTCCGAGCGCTGGGCGAGGGCGGCTTCCACACGGGAGCACCCTGGCCTCCGAGCGCTGGGCGAGGGCGGCTTCCACACGGGAGCACCCTGGCCTCCGAGCGCTGGGCGAGGGCGGCTTCCACACGGGAGCACCCTGGCCTCCGAGCGCTGGGCGAGGGCGGCTTCCACACGGGAGCACCCTGGCCTCCGAGCGCTGGGTGAGGCTGGCTTCCACGCGGGAAATGCCGCACGCGCCCTGAGGGGCTAAGTCCTCCTGGAGCTGCGGTCTCTGTGCTCTGAGACATGCGGGCCAGGCTGTCCACAGCTCCAACGGTAGAGGCGGCCAGACACAGGGACCATGGTCATCAACAGGGCAGTGGGAGGACTGCCTAGTTAGGGCCGGGAGATGCCCGCTGCTTACACTGGACTCTGGGGACATAACTTCTGGGCTGTTATTCTGTACCAGATACTTACGTGTGGTTCCACTTCTGCACATACAGTTCTTCGAAATGTAAAAACAAAAGGCAAGCAGTCTCCCAGGTCCTCAGGACCCAGAAGCTCATGCAACCTCCCTGGGGACACCTAGATGCAGCCCTGAGTTTCCGTGTGGCTCCCACAGGCAGCGCCAACCCGCACCTGCTTGTTTGGCATCCTGGGCTGAGATCCGATCACCGGTGAGGACCATCTCCATCGCCAGCGACTTCCCGACAGCACGGGTGAGTCTCTGGGTGCCTCCTGCACCTGCGGGGAGGGACTGGTCACGGTTGGCACTGCAGCGAGTGAATCCAAGAAGACACCACAAGCTCCGAGGGGCTTAAGATGGGCCCTGAGGCAAGGCCACGGGGCAGAGGCTGGGCAGCAGGGACCCCAGGAACTTCAGGCACAGCCCTTTTCAAGCTTAGGCCCCACATCCGGGGCTCCCCCAACACCCTGACGTTGGAGCAAGGTGTGTGGCTCTGTGGTCAACATCTTGGAGGCTTATAGGCCTTGCTGACTCCAGGCACCGGTCCCTTGCATCAGCAACTGCTCAAGGGATCAGACCCCGAACAAATGGGCCAAGCTCATAGCTCCAGGCCTCAGAATCTGCCTGGTCAAACTCAAGGGCAGCAGAGAGCGCCCTGCGTGCAGCTGTTCCCCTCAGGGTCTGAGCTCCTTCCTGGCTGCTCTGCCTGTGCCCACCCCTCCTACCAGGCCCACCAGGAGGACCCTGGGGGTAGAGGGTGTTGCTTTTTGCCCAGAGCCCAGGCCCTTCCCCCAGGTGTGGTGGGGGGTCTGACTCCCTGCTCTGCTGAACTCAGTGAGGCCACATGACCTCCGAGGCCAATGAGATGGCAGTGAGCAGGACCTGAGGCATAGTGGGCAGAGCTCCCAGTGCCACCCAGGGTCACCTTGTTCTCTCTCTGCCACAGACATGGGTCACAAGCAAGAACTGCCATGGTTAGAAGCCAGTGTCACCCAGGACCAGCCTCTTCCAACACCATCATGTGTGAGACCTGGGCACAGCCACAGGAGCCAGACGTGGTCCCGGGCCTCTGAGACCCCCCTCCGAGCTCTGTCACAACCACTCTAGCCTCTGTGGCTGTCTGCAGAGGGACCACAGACCAGACATGGGGGTCTCCATCCAGGGCCTCTGGTCAGATATGAGCTGTGGGTCCTGAGACACAGGCAGGCATTACCCAAAGCATGTATGCCAGAGACAGTGTCACGCCTTACCTGGGATGGTCCCTAGTAAGATCTCGGGCTGTCCAAACTGGGCCTTCTCGCCGGCATAGATGATGTCACACATCATGGCAAGCTCACAGCCCCCGCCAAGCTGCAAAACAACTGGCGTCAGGAGAGTCTCGCAAGGGGAACCCGGTCAGAACATCACTCACTTCTCTTTCAGATTTCCATTTAAAAGAAACAGTGTCAGGGGTTGACAGAGAATAACATAGTGGCACCGAACTAGTTAACTGTTAGGGTAAGTTAACGACTGATGGTTGATGCTGCTTACTGGAAACTGGCAAACATTCTAAAGGGCCAGATTAATATTTTCGGCTACGAAGGTCTTACAGGCTCTGCTGTGACGACTCAAGCCTGCCACTGTGGCCCAAATGCAGCCACAGAGACGAGGTGCACAGGCGGGCGTGGAGAAAGCTCCATCTGCGCAGCCCTGGCTTACTAGGGAGTATCACAAAACGATCACCAGGGGAAACGATCACTCTGCTTCCCGACAGGCAAGACTGGCCTCAGCACTTCAAACAGTCCCAACACATGCGACACAGAGCTTTTGAGGGGAGCAAAAGAAGCCAGTTTATAGACATAGCTTAGGTTGGGGGGCAGAGACCAGCATTTAAACGATACTGAAAAGCCAAAACAAACACCACTCTTCCGCTGCCCTGGAAGAGAGGCTTGCTGGGGAGAAGCTGCCAGGTGAACAGCCGTGAAAAAAACGGAAGCTAGGACATGTCCTCTCCGCATGGTCCCTGGCTCTTCAGCACCACGAGACAGGAAAGGAGGCAGCTGGCCTGGGAAGTGAGGCCTCTCCAAACAACATCTGTCATGGCGTGTATGTGTATCAGGGCTCCTTCAGCCGCGAGAGGAGGAGACTTGGCAGCACCACTCACAGCATAGCCATTGACAGCAGCGATGACCGGCTTCTTGACCTGGGTGATGCAGTCCCAGTGGTTCAAGAACTTCTGGGAGTAACACTCCTGGAAACTCATGTTCTGCATTTCCTTGATATCAGCTCCAGCTAGGAGTGGATACGGGGTTCCAGTTACCAGAGAGCAGAGCACCCACCTGCCCTGTATCCCCCAGACCAACAAGGAGCTTCGGAGCACACCAGACATGGGCACTGTGCTTGCCGGGCACGGCTGACACCAGGCCACGTGGACTGTCAGGATGCTGTCGTGCCAGCCATAACAGAGATCATGCAGAAGGGCCCTGGGGCAGGTGGCAGGTGCGAGGGAGGCACCCACAGAGGCTGGGGGTATTCGTCATCATATAAGCCCTCGACATACACAAAGCCTGACTGCCAAGGCCCTGAACCCCTGTAAACAAGCGATTTGGCTACATGTGGAGCACTTCTGGCGTGGCACACACCAAAGCTGCTGGTGTCACGTGGAGCACTTCTGGCGTACACAAGGCTGCTGGTGCCACGTGGAGCACTGCAGGCGTACACAAGGCTGCTGGTGCCACGTGGAGCACTGCAGGTGTACACAAGGCTGCTGGTGCCACGTGGAGCACTGCAGGTGTACACAAGGCTGCTAGTGCAAGCAGCTCCCACGACCATCTCCACTGTACGTCTGAATAAATCCCCAACCGTGTGCTTTGCCTCAGAGAGGTGCAAGTCAGGCCACACGTGCCTCCCCCATCAGCCCAGGTGCAAAGGCCTCCACTGCTGTGCACACCTGCAAAGGCCTTATCCCCGCCGGTGAGGACAATGGCCCCCACGGCCGGGTCCTCCTGGAAGGTCTTCAGTGCCTGATTGAGCTCCTCAATCAGCCCATTGCAAAGTGCATTAAGGGCCTTGGGGCGGTTCAGCTTGATCAACCCCACGGTGTTATTCTTCCCCCTTTTTTCTGCGATGATGTACTCAAAGTTGGCACCTAAGGCGAGAAGGCAGAGAGGGGATCTGTTCATACAGGGATCAAACTGAGGAGAGCGGGCGAGAGGGCACAGGGGGATCTGTTCACACAGGGATCAAACTGAGGAGAGTGGGCGAGAAGGCAGAGGGGGATCTGTTCACACAGGGATCAAACTGAAGAGAACGGGCGAGAGGGCAGAGAGGGATCTGTTCACACAGGGATCAAACTGAGGAGAGTGGGGGCTGGTCTTGGCCTATCAGGAAGCAGCGTCATCATTTCACATTGTGATTATTTCCTGATGCTCCCTTCTAGAAGGGATGTGGCCCCATCAGCGGATAGAGTGTGACCCCAAGAGGCCCTCCGAGGGCTCCCTGAGCAGTGCTCAGTGGCTCCAGGTGTAGCTCTCAGCCACATGATTATATGGTGGCCTTGGTACCGTTCTCTCTGTTTTCACGTGTGTTTGAGCATGTCCTGAAGAAAAATCCCCAGCACAGAACATAGCCCAGAGCCACACTCCTTCTCCCAAGAGGCCGTGGTCAGCTGTTCCCAGGACACTGCACTGGAGACGGCCCTGGACTCTGCTGAGACAAGGCACCAGGAAGCGCCCTCCTTCGACAAATGCCAACAATCGAGGGTAAGCCTCAAACAGGACAGAGCGCCAGCTCCTTGCTGCAGGTCGGGGTCAGGTGAAGGTGCGGGGTCAGGCGGGAGGGGTGAGGGTCGGGGTCAGGTGGGGATGTGGGGTCAGGCGGGGATGTGGGGTCAGGCGGGAGGGGGATGAGGGTCGGGATCAGGTGGGGGTGTGGGGTCAGGGGGGAGGGGGATGAGGGTCGGGATCAGGTGGGGGTGTGGGGTCAGGGTGGAGGGGGATGAGGGTCGGGATCAGGTGGGGGTGCGGGGTCAGGCAGGAGGGGAGAGGGTCGGGGTCTGGTAGGGGTGCGGGGTCAGGCGGGAGGGGTGAGGGTCGGGGTCAGGTGGGGATGTGGGGTCAGGCGGGAGGGGGATGAGGGTCGGGATCAGGTGGGGGTGTGGGGTCAGGTGGGAGGGGAGAGGGTCGGGGTTAGGTGGGGGTGCGGGGTCAGGGGGAGGGGTGCGGGTCGGGGTCTGGTAGGGGTGCGGGGTCAGGCGGGAGGGGGATGAGGGTCGGGATCAGGTGGGGGTGCGGGGTCAGGCGGGAGGGGAGAGGGTCGGGATCAGGTGGGGATGTGGGGTCCGGCGGGAGGGGGATGAGGGTCGGGGTCAGGTAGGGGGTGCGGGATCAGGCGGGAGGAGTGAGGGGGTCAGGTGGGAGTGCGGGATCAGGCGGGAGGGGGATGAGGGTCGGGGTCAGGTGGGGGTGCGGGGTCAGGGGGAGGGGTGTGGGTCGGGGTCTGGTAGGGGTGCGGGGTCAGGCGGGAGGGGGTTGAGGGTCGGGGTCAGGTGGGGGTGCGGGGTCCGGCGGGAGGGGAGAGGGTCGGGATCAGGCGGGAGGGGGATGAGGGTCGGGGTCAGGTGGGGGTGCGGGGTCAGGCGGGAGGGGTGAGGGTCGGGGTCAGGTGGGGATGTGGGGTCAGGCGGGAGGGGGATGAGGGTCGGGATCAGGTGGGGGTGTGGGGTCAGGTGGGAGGGGAGAGGGTCGGGGTTAGGTGGGGGTGCGGGGTCAGGCGGGAGGGGAGAGGGTCGGGATCAGGTGGGGGATGTGGGGTCCGGCGGGAGGGGTGAGGGGGTCAGGTGGGGGTGCGGGATCAGGCGGGAGGGGGATGAGGGTCGGGATCAGGTGGGGGTGTGGGGTCAGGTGGGAGGGGAGAGGGTCGGGGTTAGGTGGGGGTGCGGGGTCAGGCGGGAGGGGAGAGGGTCGGGATCAGGTGGGGGATGTGGGGTCCGGCGGGAGGGGTGAGGGGGTCAGGTGGGGGTGCGGGATCAGGCGGGAGGGGGATGAGGGTCGGGGTCAGGTAGGGGATGTGGGGTCCGGCGGGAGGGGTGAGGGGGTCAGGTGGGGGTGCGGGATCAGGCGGGAGGGGGATGAGGGTCGGGGTCAGGTGGGGGTGCGGGGTCCGGCGGGAGGGGTGAGGGTCGGGGTTAGGTGGGGATGTGGGGTCCGGCGGGAGGGGGTGCGGTCTGAGGTCTGGCCGGGGGTGCAGGTCGGAGTCGGAGGGGATCCGGGTCGCCGGCTGTCACCGGGCACTCACCCGAGGCGAAGGGACGCCACACCGAGCTGTGGATCGGGGGCCTCAGTGGGCCGCGGACGCGGGGCAGCAGGACACGAAGAACGGCCATGGCTCTCTCCACTATTCGCCCGGCCCGGGAGCCGCCCCCGCGCCTCACCACTCAGGGCTCGCCCCGCCCACAGGCCGGTGCCGCGAGACCAGGAGGGCATCGCGAGATCGGCCCGGGCGGAGTGGGCGGGGCGTCCTCCTGCAGGCCCCGCCCCCAGCGCCGCGCCCGCTGGCGGATCTAAGGGCGCACCTGGGTCCTCGTCCTGGGCCCAGCACCCTCCAGGCTCCTCCGCCTTCTCCCGCGCCTCCGCCCAGGCCGTCGGGGTTCCGGCCGGCCGCGGGGAGACCGCGCTGATGCGGGGCAATGGCGGCGCCTGCCCGGGTCCGCGTCTGCAGCGCCCGGCGCGGGACGGTGGCAGCGGCCTGGCCATGGACGCCACATGAGCAAGAGTTTCATTTTCAGGTACATAGGACTTAAGCACATTTAAACAATCAATGCAATTTTGATCCATTATTTTATTTATAACTTTTCAATATCTAGACCAGTATCGTCGAGCATCTACTTTGTGTCCTTGCCCGGATTCTGCAAAAGCCAGGGTGGACGTAAAACATCTACAAATGGAAAGCGAACTGCTGCTGTGACCGGCGAAGGCTGCCCAGGTTCCTGACGTCTTCAGCAAAGAACTGGACAAAACGCACATCGAAGCAAGGAAAGACTGAAGCAGCGAAAACAGATTTATAGGAACATGACAGTGTGGCGGGGTGCGGTGGCTCTCGCCCGTAATCCCAGCACTTTGGAAGGCCGAGGTGGACAGATCACCTGAGGTCAGGAGTTCCAGACCAGCCTGGCCAACGTGGTGAAACCCCCTCTCTACTAAAAATTCAAAAAATTCGCTGCGTGTGGTGGGGCACGCCTGCAGTCCCAGCTACTTGGGAGGCTGAGGCAGGAGAATCGGTTGAATCCGGGAGGTAGAGGTTGCGACGAGCTGAGATCACACCACTACACTCCAGCCTGGGCAACAGAGCAAGACTTCATCTCAAAAAATAAAAGAAAAAAAGAGTGCTTGCTTTGGCAGCACATATGCTGAAATTGGAATGACACAGAGATTGGCATGGTTCCTGTGCAAGCATGACCTGAAAATTAATGAAGTGTTCCATGTTAAAAAAAAAAATGGCCGGGCGCGGTGGCTCAAGCCAGTAATCCCAGCTACTCAGGAGGCTGAGGCAGGAGAATTGCCTGAACCCAGGAGGCGGAGGTTGCGGTGAGCCGAGTTCGTGCCATTGCACTCCAGCCTGGGTAACAAGAGCGAAACTCCGTCTCAAAAAAAAAAAGTAACTTCACAGTGTGTGTGCAGCCGAGAGTAGGGGCTAAGGGCCCCGTTACACAGCTTTTTGGGGGGTTTAAATACCCTCTAGGAGTTTTCACTGGTTCCTTGGTGTACACCCTATATAAATGGAGAGGACATTTCCTGTCACAGCTGGTGTTTCCATTTGATTGAGTTCTAGAGAGTCAGCCTGAATTGCCCCTAGGTTCCTGGCCTCCAGACCCTGTTCTCCTCCTCACTATGTTCCAGAAAATAATTCAGTTCAAACCAAAAATGAACACACACCAAGATTTCATTTCAAGACTGAGGGTGAAATAAAGACATCTCGTGTAAGCAGAAAGAAATCACCAACAAACCTTTACTAAAAGATGCTCTGTATTAGTGTAGGTTAAACCTCTGGGACAGAGAGGCCCAAAATGAAATAGCTCAAACAGAAAAGAGGGGTCTCTTTTTCTTCCTTCCTCCCTCCCTCCCTTTCTTTCTTTCTTTTCTGTCTCACTGTCACCCAGGCTGGAGCGCAGTGCTGTGATCTTGGCTCATTGTAGCTTGCACTCCTGGGCTCAAGTGTTTCTCCTGCCCCAGACTTCTGAGTAGTTGGGACTACAGGCACGCACCACCATGCCTGGTTAATATTTGTAGTTTTTCAGTAGAGTTGGGGGTTTCGCCATGTTGGCCAGGCAGTTCTTGAACTCCTGACCTCAAGTGATCTACCGCCTCGGCCTCCCAAAGTGCTGGGACTACAGGAGTGATCCACCGTGCCTGCCAAGAGGTTTCCTAACAACCAAGAGGTTGGGTGGCTCCTGTCCTCCATCAAGTAATTCACAAGCAACGAAGGGAAGCTTAAAACTTTTGTCTGCAAGGACACTACCAAGTTAGCGAGAGAACTGAACAGACATTCCTCCAGTGAAGAGCATCCATGTCAGACAAGCTCTGAAACCATAGCGATAGAATGTCGCACCTACAGCGCTGGCTGCCATAAGCCCAGCAACCATCGGCACTGTGGGGGATGTGAGCGTGGGACACTGGCACGCTGCCGGCGGGAGTGGAAGTGGAGCAGTCGCTGTGGAAAACAGTCTGTGCTTTCCTCAAAAGGTCAAACAGCAATTCCACTCTTCAGCGTACACCCGAGAGAACTGAAGACAAATGTCCACGAAAACTTTCATAAACTTGTTATGAATAATGTTGCTAAATACGTTCATAGCAACTTTTTCATAACAGCCAAAAGGTGGGAAAAAGCCAGTTGTCCATCAACTCATGAACGGGCAAACAAAACATCATATATCCAAACAAGGGGTATGTTAGAACACATTAGACTATACAATGGACTACGGTTCGGGCGTACAAAGGAAAGAAGCACTGATACATCCATTACAAATGGATGAGCCTTGAAAATGCTATGCTCAGTGAAAAAAGCCAGACACAAAGGCTGTGGGTAACCCCCCATCAGGGCACCGAGGAAGGGGACTTAAGCAGGTCCCTGGCACAATTAGGGCCTGAAGAGTATCTTAGTTGATAATGACATTACTCAGTTATTTCCTTTATATAATCCTTTATATATAATCATATATTAGTTTATGGCATTAGTGCCTGAGGAATATCTTACTACTCAGTTATTTCCATATATATATAAAATTATATCTTAGCTCATAGTCGGAGGAATGCCTAGAGCAGACAGGGTACAGAGCATGAATTGAGGAATAAGAGGCTTATAGTTGGAGGAATGTCTACAGCAGACACGGTGCAGAGCATGATTTAAGGGAAAAACAGTTATACCAGGACAAGAATCCATGGCCCAGGCGGCAGCATTCAGTATGGTAAAGATACCCGCTGTAGGGCAGGCTTCGGGGGAGAGCCTCTCCTCCTGATAAAGGAGTTCTAGGACCTTGCTCCAGTTCTTGTGGAAGGCTGCCCTCAGACCGGCAATCCCTCGAGCATCTGAGGGCTCAAAACCCCTCCAATATAATCGTGCCTTGGTGACTGTATAACTTGTCAGCTCTCTAGCTACTGTGCTGACTCAGAAGCATCCGCCTGCAGAATTCCTTAGAAGTAGCCTGCCCCTAGATAAGAGATATTGCACACTGCACCCTCCTCACTGCGCACGGCCCACCTCCTCGCCTCGGTGACCTGATGGGGGTAGGACCCCTCGCTGCACACTGCCCACCTCCTCGCCTCGGTGACCTGATGGGGGTGGGATCCCTCGCTGCACACTGCCCACCTCCTCGCCTCGGTGACATGATGGGGGTGGGACCCCTTGTTTATTGCTCAGGTGATTATCTTGACCTATCACTATCCTCAAGATGACCTCACTCACTACCCTGCTCCCGAACCTAGACCCAATAAATACAGACGCTCCTGGATGTTCGGGACCTCGCCCGTCTCCACTCATAGGTGGCGTGGCCCCCCAGCCCAGCTGTCTTTTCCAGTCCTTCCATGTCTCCTGTCTGCTTCTCGGATCCAGCGCCTCAGCACAGCGATAGGTGCCACCCCACCACCCCGTAGGGCTGTGATCCTACAAACACCATGCATCGAATGATTCCATGTCTATGAGATGTCCAGAACAGGCAATCCATGCAGACAGAAAATGGATTAGAATTCGCCAGGGGCTGGAGGGAGGGGGCAATGGGATGACTGCTGCAGGGTACCCCCACTTTTTTAGGGTGATGAAAATGTCCTCAACTTGATTATGGTGATGGTTGTACAACCCTGTAACTATACTGAAAACCATCGAATTGGACACTTTAAACGGGAGAAGTTGTTCGGCGTGATGCCTGCATTTATAAAATTGAAAAAGCCGGATTCCGCCAAAGCCACATGGGTAGTTGCCACCTTGATCACCGCAGGTGGCATCACCCAAGGCTCTCTGGAGCTAGGAGAAACACACCTTGTACCAATGGGATGGGACAGAGATCGTGTGTTCCGGCTGCTGGCTCTGGCATGGCAGGACCGTCCAGGACTGGCTGTGGTCACAAGCGCTCTCCATTTCGGAGCAAGGAGGGGCGGGTGACTAACCCGGCCCCAGGTCGGAGTGTCAGCAGCAGCTGCTGTTTGATTCAGGCTGTGGCACTACATCTAGGGAGCAAATGCATTGTCCCCACCCTGCAGCTCTTAGGGTCCACATCTTCTCTCTGCACCATAAAGCCAGAGTGTCCCCTTTCAGTCATGTCACTTTACAGTCACCCCTATTTGCACCAGGTCTCCCGGGTGTGGGGCACGGCCATGTTTACCTGTGGCCTGTGTGGGCCACAGTGGGGAGGCTTGGCAGCAAGCTTCTGAGCCAAGTAGTTCCGGCTTTTATGGGATCCTTCTGCTCCACAAGAGGATCTGGGACCATCCTGAACTAGAATTCAGTTAGAATCTTCTGGGTCCCCTTTGGGCTGGGCTCCCTGAAGGAACCAGGAACGGGCTGGCCAGGAGGACATGATGGACCAGGAGGAGGTGACAGAGGCAAGACTCGACCCTTCCTGTTCCATCTTGCAGAGACTGTCCCAACGTGAGGTGACGCCAGGTGCCTGGGGGACATTGATGCCTGACCAGAGCCCAGACTAGACATCCTTCCAGCAAAGGCTGGGCCCTGAGAATAAGAACACAGGGGAGGACACTGTAACAGCCCAGGAGAATAAGGACACAGGGGAGTCTCTGCCTGGAGGAGCTGGCTGACGGCATGGTGCCTGACATGGTGCTGAAAACAGAGCAGCAGCCCCCAGAGGCTGAGGAACCAAAGTAGCCCACCCACCCAGAATGGCGAGGCCCACGCCCATGCAGGAGGCTGGAAGCACAGGGTGGCATCCCTCACAGCCTTGCCCACAGGACGTTGTGCTCCCATGTCTGGGCAGTGAGCTGGGGCCTGTGGTCAGAGTAGCAGCCTGATTTCAGAGGGTGCCACTAGGGAGTGGGCCATCCCCTTGGCCATACCTGTGGGGGACGCAGTTCATCTGTGGAATTCAGGAACCCAGAGTATTAAAGCTGCCCTCCCAGGACCTCCAGCTGGGGAGCTGGGGCAGGTGGGGGGGGTGGTCCTGCTGGGTTTCCTAAGTGCACGCCAGGAACCTGGGAATGGAGCGCTGTGGGTAACCCCCCATATAGACACCAAGGAATGAGAGCTAAGCAGAACCCTGGCACAGTTAGGGCCTGAGGAATAGCTCACTTTATAGTGTTACCACTCAGCTATTTCCTTTTATATAATCCTTTACATAATCATATATTAGTTTATAGAATTAGGGCTTGAAGAATCCCTTTATACAATCCTCTACTTATAATCATATAATAGCTGATAGTATGAGTGCCTACAGAATATTTCCCTACATATATACCTATAATTATATCTTAGTTCATAATCGGAGGAATGCCTAGAGCGGACACAGTGCAGAGCATGATTTAAGGGAAAACAGTTATGCCAGGACAAGAACCCACGGCCCAGGCGGCAGCGTTCAGTATCGTAGAGATACCTGCTGTATGGCAGGCTTGGGGCGAGAGCCACTCCTCCTGGTAAAGGAGTTGTAGGACCCCGCTCCAGTTCTTGCGGAAGGCCGCCCTCAGACCGGCAATCCACCTTGGTGACTGTGAACTCCCTCAGCTCTTGCTACTGTGCTGCTCGAAAAGCATCTTCCCACAGAACCCACTGGAAGCTGCCAGCAGGTGGTGGTAACCCTGACAGCTCTGTCACTGCTGTGTGACTTAAAGTGTCCTCCTATAAATCTTCTTAGAAGTAGTTTCCCATAGATAGAAGTATTGCACACTGCACCCTCTGCACTGCACAGGGCCCACCTTCAAGCCTCAGTGACCTAATGGAGGTGGACCCCATGTTTTATTGCTCACGACCCTATCACTATCCTTAAAGATGATTTCACTCACTGCCCTGCCCCCTAACCTATACACAATAAATACTCAGGCTTCTGGACATTCGGGGCCTCGCCTGACTCTGCTTATAGGTGGCGTGGCCCCCGAGCCCAGCTGCGTTTTCCTTGTACTTCTGTGTCCTGTCTCTTTATTTCTCGGACCCTGCACCTCAGCACAGCATAAGGCTCACCCCGGGACCCTGTGGGGCCCTCAGCCCTACATCAGGCTCCCAACATGCCCTACAGAGCGCCCCACTGAGCTAGTGGCTCTGCTTCAGGCCTTAGAGCAGGGAGTAAGAGAGAGGCCTGCTCAGGAAGGATAGGTGACACTAGTAGGGGGCTGCGCCCCAAACACGTCATATGACCATGGGGGAGGGGCAGTCCTTCTTTCCTTAGTCCTGGGATGTCCAGTGGGTCAGCTTGGTGGAGAGCTAGCCCTGCCTACCTGAGGGCACTGGCTTCCCCATGGCCTGGCAGCGGGAGATGGCCACTGCGGCCAGTGTCACCTCCTGGTGCCGGAGGCCCCTGACGGACAGAGGACGCTCGTCCCCTGCTCGCCGTAGCCCAGGGAGTCAGCCTGCACCCCAGACACCTGCCCCTCTCCCTGCATGCAGCGGTGCCTGGAGCTCAGCTTGGGGTGGCTTGGGAGTGATGGGGAGTGGAATCCAGCGATGCCAGGTCACCCTTCCGGGAGCCTTTTCTCCAGCTGGGACGAGAGAGCATCAAAGTAAAGGAAGACACGGCTCAGGAGGCCCACGCCGAGAGCCAAGGGGAAAGCTCACACCAGCAAACTTGAGCGCGCCGCCCCTCCGCAGAGGATGGGGGCTCAGGAGGCGGGGACGCGCCTGAAAATCGGGCAGGAGTTTCCAGCCCCTGCGGACTGCGATGCAGTAGAAAACGCAGCCGCCGGCACCGGGGGAATTCCAGAAATACAGGCATGCCTGGGCGTGCGCCCAGCTTCTCCAGAAGCTGCGAGGGGCGAGAGGCGTTTCTGCACTTGCTCTTGGCTTCTCCTGAACTCGTGCCTCCTTGTGCGGTCGTCCCTTGTCCCCGCAGGCCTGTGGCCGCCCACGCACACGCAAATTGAGGGGCGGTGGCCTTGCTGGAGGTTCTCAGGGCGCCCTCTGGCCGCGTCAAGCTCTCCCAGGTCCCACCCCTGACACTGCGGCAGCCCCAGACCCACTGCACCCTCGCTCTAGGCGCAGGTCCCGAGGGTCCCCGGGGAAGCGCTCGCTGCGCCTTAGGCTCCCCTGGAGGAGGCACCGCCCGCCCGGCCCACCGGCTTCTCTCTTCGTGGGGACGCTCGCGCGCACCACCCGGCAGCGCAGGACGCTCCCTGAAGCCCGTCCTCGCCATCTCTCGGGCCCTCCCCCGAGGGGCGCTTCCCTCTGATACACGAGCTCAGTCCCGAGGCGCCCGGTGGGGCCGTCCCCTCCCCGCCCCGCCCCTCCCCTCCCCTCCCCTCTCCGCCCCGCCCCTCCCCTCTCCGCCCCGCCCCTCCCCTCTCCGCCCCTCCCCTCCCCTCTCCGCCCCTCCCCTCCCCTCTCCACCCCGCCCCTCCCCGCCCCTCTTCCTGCCCTCTCCCCGCCCCTCTCCGCCCCCCGCCCCGCCTCCGGCCTCCTCCGAGAGCTCCAGACCTCTCAGCTACTCCGAACCCCGCCGACTGCCGGGACCGCGCGATGGAGTCGACTGGCGGCGACGGGAAGGCCCCGGGAGGCCCCCGGGTGCTGGTGGTGGGCGGCGGCATCGCGGGGCTGGGCGCGGCGCAGAGACTCTGCGGCCACCCTGCCTTCCCGCACCTGCGCGTCCTGGAGGCCACGGCCCGTGCCGGGGGCCGCATCCGCTCGGAGCGCAGCTTTGGTAACGCCCCTCCCGGAACACCACCAGCTGCGCCCCGCTGACCAGCCCGGCCGCCTCTCCCGGCTCCCCCGGGAATCCCCCGCTTGACCGGCCCGAGTTCACCGCCCCGAAACTCAGGGCACAGTCGGGAGGGCGCCGGCCTGGGAAGGCGACCTACGGCCCCACGCGGCCGCCCTGGTTCTGCCCCTCGGGGAGCGCCCGCAGCCCCACCCTGCACCCCTCCCTCGCGTCCGGACCGCCCGACAGGTGCCCTCCTGCCAGGTGCTCCCCTTACACCGGGTCTGACCGGTCACATCCTACCTGGGAAGGGCAGCGGCTACGTGGCCCAGGATAAGGGCCAGGCTGGCCGTTCTGGGAAAGGGACCAGGTGGCATCTGCTGCCCCTCGCAGGTGGCGTGGTGGAGGTGGGCGCGCACTGGATCCATGGGCCTTCCCGGGGCAACCCCGTCTTCCAGCTGGCTGCTGAGTACGGGCTGCTGGGGGAGAAAGAGCTGTCGGAGGAGAACCAGCTGGTGGAGACCGGGGGTCACGTGGGCCTGCCCTGCGTCAGCTACACCAGCTCCGGGGTCCGTGTGAACCTCCAGCTGGTGGCGGAGATGGCGACTCTGTTCTACGGCCTGATCGACCAGACCCGAGAGTTCCTGCAGGCGGCGGAGACCCCGGTGCCCAGCGTGGGGGAGTTCCTCAGGAAGGAGATCAGGCAGCACGTGGCCGGCTGGACAGAGGACGAGGAGACCAAGAAACTGAAGCTGGCCGTCCTGAACGCCTTCTTCAACCTGGAATGTTGTGTGAGCGGCACCCACAGCATGGACCTGGTGGCCCTGGCGCCCTTCGGGGAGTACACCGTGCTGCCCGGGCTGGACTGCACCTTTTCTAAGTGCGTGCCTGCGCCCCCCACCCCCAACTCCAGGCTCCCCAGGGCCCCGGGGCTGGCCAGACTCTGCTCTCGCTTGGGTGTGGGAGAGATGGGAGACCATTTGCTCTCCCCATTCAGACAGACTGGTTGCTCCTTTCTCTGGTTTTGCTCATTTAAGCCAAAAAAGTTATTTCTGAGAGAGGGTGGTTAGAAGGAAAGGCTTCTCCTGCTCCTGCATTTACTGAGGCCTGTTTTGTGCCAAATGAGGGTCTTTGGCTGCAGAGGGGGCCAGACGGGCCCTCTCTGTGTGGCAGGGTGGCTGCTGGGTACCAGGTGCAGGTGAGACCCTCACTCTCCCAGGTGTCACCTCTGGTGTTCTCGGCCCCGAGGCTCCTGCCCAGGCGGTGGACATTTGTGAGTCAGGAAGCCCTGGTTCCAGCACATTGCCTTGAGAGCTCTGTGCCCACGGAACCCTCCCGTATGCACGGGAGGGCAGGTATGAGCATCCGTGTGGTGGAAAACCACAGAGTGGAGCTGCTCTCCCTGCTGGCCAGAGCAATGGAGCTCCCAGCAGTGACGGTTGATGCGGGTGGGAACTTGGAGCACGTATTTCCACGAGTTCTGCCCTTCCAGGGACTGGGCCTCTACGAAACCAGCACTTCCATCTTCCTAGGGGCTACCAAGGGCTCACAAACTGCATGATGGCCTCCCTGCCAGAGGACACAGTAGTTTTTGAGAAGCCCGTGAAGACCATTCACTGGAACGGGGCCTTCCAGGAGGCAGCCTTTCCCGGGGAGACCTTTCCAGTGTCGGTAGAGTGTGAGGATGGAGACCGGTTCCCAGCACACCACGTCATTGTCACCGTGCCCTTAGGTAGGCCAGGTGCCCCTTCCTCTGCCCTTATCCTGCTTCTGTTGGCTCTGGGACGTCTGCTTGGGTACAAAGCTCAAAGCTCACGTTTTCATTCTAATAATTTCCAGATAGGTGGAAGAAATGACTCATGTTTTATAGCAATTGCATGCTTTGGAATTAAGGGTTTCACTGTGAGGAAAAAATGCAAGTAAGTGTGTGTCTTACTTGTTTGGAGGGAATCGTGAGGGTTGGGATGGGCTTGGTAGTTAACCAGGCTGCACTTTGCTGGAGACAGGAAAAGTCATGAGAAACCCGGTCTCAAGGTCAGGCCTAGGGTGACCTGTTGAAGGAGCCATGTGTATAATTCTATTCAATTCTAGATCTGGTGCTTGAGTAGAGGTGGTTTGAAGCCGTTTTATAAACGGTGGAGATGGTTGAAAACGGAGTTACTAGGGTAACTGCTGTCAGCTGGACATTTGCTTCTCACGGTTTCACGCCGCTGTCGGTCTCTGCCTGAGTTATCTCATTGACTCCTCAGGCAGCCTTGGCAGGTATCTGGCACCGTCCCCCATTTGACAAATTTGAACATCTAGGCAAACAGAAGTCACTTAACTGCCCAAGTTCACAGAGCTAGCAAGTGCCAGAGCTCACTTGGAGTTCTAGGTGTGATTGAAGGGTGTGTGATGAAAAGCAAGAGCCTCCCCCTTGCTTTTCCTGTCTCCCCCTTGCAACTCCTGTCTCCAAGGGGTGGCTGTGCCCTCCCCACTGCTGTTCCCCACAGATGCAGTCATGGTCCACATACAAACACCTGCTGCTCGGCCGGATACGGTGGCTCACGTCTGTAATCCTAGCACTTTGGGAGGCCGAGGTGGGCAGACCACCCGAGGTCAGGAGTTCGAGACCAGCCTGGTCAACATGGTGACATCCTGTCTCTACTAAAAATCCAAAAATTCTCTGGGTGTGGTGGCGGGCACCTGTGATCCCAGCTACTCGGGAGGCTAAGGCAGGAGAATTGCTTGAACCTGGGAGACAGAAGTTGTAGTGAGCCAAGATTGTGCCACTGCTCTCCAGCTTGGTTGACACTCTGTCTCAAAAAAAAAAAAATGTGGTACTCAGTTTGACCGTTTTTTCCCCTGTAATGGAACTTGTCAGTGTTTCTGAATCAGCCCTCTTAGATCTACGGTCTTTTTCATTTCCCTCTGGCGGCTTTGATCATTCACGTTTGGAGTAGGCACTTCCTGGGCCTGCTAAGTGCTGACCACCAGGGACATTGCCAGTAGATACACTGTTACAGCTGTGAGCATTTTGTTTACAGGGAGCCAGTTCACAAAAATTAGCTGGTGGGTGCCTGTGATCCCCCTGCTTGGGAGGCTGGGGCTGGAGAATTGCTTGAACTGGAGAGGGGGAGGCTGCAGTGAGCCGAGATGGCACCATTGCACTCCAACTTGGGCAACAAGAGCAAAACTTAGTGTCCAAAAAAAAAGGAGCCAGTTCACTTGCCATGAAGTGTTTTCTTGTCATTATTTCATAAGTATTGATGGAAATTTAGGTGGTCTTCACTTTTTCTATATCATGTAGTTTTACATTTGCACATAAAAACACTGCTGGGTTGGGTGAGGTGGCTCACACCTATAATCCCAGCACTTTCGGAGGCTGAGGTGAGCGGATCACAAGGTCAAGAGTTCAAGACCAGCCTGACAAACATGGTGAAACCCCGTCTCTACTAAAAATACAAAAATTAACCGGGTGTAGTGGCCACACCTGTAATCCGAGCTACTCAGGAGGCCGGGGCAGGAGAATTGCTTGAACCCAGGAGGCAGAGGTTGCAGTGAGCTGAGATCACATCAGTGTACTCCAGTTTGGGTGACAGAATGAGAATCCATCTCAAAAACAAAAAACAGAAAACACCTGTGTGAAAGGTGGGGAATGGTGGCTCAGGCCTATAATCCCAGCAGTTTGGGAGGCCAAGGTGGGAGGATTGCTTGAGCCAGGGAGGTCAAGGCTGCAGTGAGCCCTGATCTCGGTGCTGCCTGCACTCTAGACTGGGCAACAGAGTAAGACCCTATCTCAAAAACAAAGAAAAGGAAGTAAAAATGCTTGTGTGAATGTGTCTGTGGGATAAATCCCAGCAGGGGAAATGGCAGGATCTGAGGTCTGCACAGAAAGGCCTTCTATGGAGGGCACGGGGACCCTTCATGGGCACCTGTGGCCACAGCCTGTGGGGCGCCTCCCCACTGGTCTCTGGGCTTTCGTCTTCCTCTGACTGACTTGCCGGTGTCTTAAGACTTGAGATCTGGTGCCGCAGGACTCCGTCCTGTCGTTTGACTTTTGTTCATCTCGTTACTGTCTGCCTTTGGGCGGAATGTGTGTTTTTGCTACACAGATTCGTTTTTATGTAGCTTCTGGATAAAGCCTGTGTATTTAACCACTAGGCTAAGCTAATTCCTGAGCAGCATGTTGTGCAGAGGTTGAGAGGCAGAGGTTGAGGGTGAGTGGCTCCGACATCACAGCTTCTGTGGTGGCCCTGACTGTTCCTGTGTGGCCAGTGGTTCAGTATCGTAGAGATACCCGCTGTATGGCAGGCTTGGGGCGAGAGCCACTCCTCCTGATAAAGGAGTTGTAGGACCCCGCTCCAGTTCTTGGTGAAGGCCGCCCTCAGACTGGCAATCCACCTTGGTGACTGTGAACTCTCTCAGCTCTTGCTACTGTGCTGCTCGAAAAGCATCTTCCCATAGAACCCACTGGAAGCTGCCAGCAGGTGGTGGTAACCCTGACAGCTCTGTCACTGCTGAGTGACTTAAAGCGTCCTCCTATAAATCTTAGAAGTAGTTTGCCCATAGATAGAAGTATTGCACACTGCACCCTCTGCACTGTGCACGGCCCACCTTCAAGCCTCGGTGACCTAATGGGGGTGGACCCCTTACTGCGCACGGCCCTTGCCTTCATGGGAACGGTCCCCTTGCTGCGCACTGTCCACCTCCTGGCCTAGGTGACCTAATGAGGGTGGACCCCATGTTTTATTGCTCACGACCCTATCACTACCCTTGAAGATGACTTCACTCACTGCCCTGCCCCCTAACCTATACACAACAAATACTCAGGCTTCTGGACATTTGGGGCCTCGCCTGACTCTGCTTATAGGTGGCGTAGCCCCGAGCCCAGCTGCGTTTTCCTTGTACTTCTGTGTCCTGTCTCTACTTCTCGGACCCTGCGCCTCAGCACAGCATAAGGCTCACCCCACGGCCCTGTGGGGCCCTCAGCCCTACAGTGGGCGCTCCATTCTAGCTGAAGAGCTTTATGTGATGTAAGTCGAGTCCTGTTCTGCATTCCAGGCTTTCTTAAGGAACACCTGGACACCTTCTTTGACCCTCCGCTGCCGGCTGAGAAGGCGGAAGCGATCAGGAAGATCGGCTTTGGGACCAACAACAAGATCTTCCTCGAGTTTGAGGAGCCCTTCTGGGAGCCAGACTGCCAGCTGATCCAGGTGGTGTGGGAGGACACATCCCCGCTGGAGGACCCTGCCCCCGCACTGCGGGACGCCTGGTTCCGGAAGCTCATCGGCTTTGTGGTCCTTCCTGCCTTTGGGTACGTTTGCTCTTGGGAGGCTCCAGGAGGGGCTGGCTTTTTCGACCTTCATCTGATGGAGGATGCAGCAGCGTGTCAGTTCACGGCAGGGCATTTCTGGGGGGTTTAATGGGTAGGGATCTCATGAGCCCCTTCAGGTGCTGGCGGCAGGCACCCTGGGCCTGACCTCTGTGGGGACAGATGGCGCCCTGCTGTATGTTGGTTGTTAGCACCCCTCGGGGCCCAGAATGTGTCCGTGGACTTGCAGGCAGGCTCAGTCTTCCGTCCGTGGGAACGTGTTTATTGGAAGGCTGCAGGGAGCTGGGGCTTATAGATACAGAGGAACTCTGGAACACAATGTGCCCATACCTGGGGAGACGATACTTAAACAGGGATGAAGTAATTGAGGAAGACGTGCCTAGAAGTAATGGGATCAAAGACCCGTAGAGGAAGGGCCCTCCATCTTAGAAACAGCATGTATAGACCACGTGCCAGCTCAGGAGAGAATCCCATGAGTGACGTGGGGGATGGAGGGACTGACTTTTCCAGCCAGATTAAAACACAAAGCCAGCCTGTTGTGTTCCGATGGCAGATCTAATCCCACACTTCCACCGACAGTTGTGGCAGGGGGGACACAGTTCTTGTCATGAAAGACCCAGATGTAGTGGGAGTGCAGGGCACACCTGCCAGATGGTTCATCACTGCTGTCCACTGGGAGCAGGAGGCTGCTGACCAGCCCTGCACCTGTGACCGGGGAAGCCTGTCTGCCTCCTTCACATTAAAGAGGAAACTGGCACTCTGGCTGGGTGTGGTGGCTCACGCCTGTATTCCCTGCACTTTGAGGGGCTGAGGAGGTGGGTGGATCACCTGAGATTAGGAGTTTGAGATCAGCCTGGCCAACATGCTGAAACCCCGTCTCTACTAAAAATACAAAAAATTAGCCGGGCGTGGTGGCAGGTGCCTGTAATCACAGCTACTCAGGAGGCTGAGGCAGGAGAATCGCCTGAACCCAGGAGGTGGAGGTTGCAGTGAGCTGAGATAGTGCCACTGTATTCCAGCCTGGGCAACAAGACCAAAACTCTGTCTAAAAAAAAAAAAAATGGCATTCCAGGTGTTGGGACAGGCCTGGGTTGCTGGTGGGCAGCCGGGTGGGTGACTGTGTGTGTGGCCACCTGCTCCAGGCCCAGCCCCACCGCCTGTGCTCTCTTGCTTAGGACATCAGTGGGATCCCGGGTGCCCTGGTGGGAGCCTGTCTGTGGCACGGGGTGGCAGCTGTCCCATCCTTTCATATGCCTGCAAAGGGTGAGGGATCTCAGAGAGCTTTTGTCAACGTCGCATCTGTAAACTTACCACATGATAAATTATTTATTATTTGAGATGATAGTAAAAAACCTATTCCATGTTAGCATGAATCACATTTTAAAATGAATATTTTCTTAAAATTAAATGAAGGTGGCAGAGTTGTCTCTTTTGCAAGACTCTTTTTTTTCTGATACAAGTTCTCCCTGTGTTGCCCAAGCTGGAATGCATGGAGTGCAGTGGTGGGATCTCGCCTTACTGCAACCTCCGCCTCCTGGGTTCTAGCAATTCTCCCGCCTCAGCCTCCGGAGTAGCTGGGATTACAGGCCTGTGCCACCGTGCCCGGCTAATTTTTGTATTTTAGTCCAGACAGGGTTTTGCCATGTTGGCCAGGCTGGTCCTGAACTCCTGGTCTCAAGTGATCCACCCACTTCAGCCTTCCGAAGTGCTGGGATTACAGGCGTGAGCCACTGCACCCGGCCTGCAAAGCTCTTTAATGTCACACCTAATAGAAGATTCTGGGTTCTCAGGCCTGCCTCTGCATTCATTGTGTTGTGATGTTTTATTTTGGTTGAAACAGAGGAGGCAAGTCTGGGTCGACATGGATAGGTGGGTGGAAGAAGGAGTGATATTTCAATAGCTTTTCAAGTGAGTGTGGGTATTCTTTGAGGCTACACCAAAACTACAGAATCAGTAGTTCCTTAAAGGTTGGCCACATGTGGAATCTGAGACCACACCGGCGAATTCTGTTGTGTTCTGTGACACTGGAACCTGTTTGTCTGTCTTGCCCTGCTGCATCGTTGGCACCTTGCTGAGAACTGCGGGCAGAGCTGGGCTAAGAGCTGGGCTGGATGCCTCGACCCAGGGGTCTCTCTCTCCATGCAGGTCTGTCCATGTTCTCTGTGGGTTCATTGCTGGGCTCGAGTCTGAGTTCATGGAGACTCTGTCGGATGAAGAAGTGCTTCTGTGTCTCACCCAGGTGCTCCAGAGAGTGACAGGTACTGACTGCACATGCCAGCTCCTGCCTCTGCTCGTTACTGGCTGATCTCTAAACAGAAATGAAGCTTTTCAGAACAGGGAAAAACTAAATTTGGCCGAGTCTGTACGTTTCCAGGGACAACCCTTCCTCGTGTCAGCAGGGTCAGTAACAGTTCCTACCTCCAAGGAACCGAAAGGGCTTTACAGACACTTCCTACCTCTGCCACCAAAATAAACGCAGTTGTCTTTGATCAGATTTTTACAGAGGAGGAACCCAGGGCCCGGAAACAGTAGCGTGCTGCTGTCCCAGGCCCTGGTCCCGGGGGTCCCTCGGCCGGCCTGGCGTGGTGGTGCCTGGCACAGAGTCAGCAGGAAGGGCTCCTCCGGACACGCTCTGCTGCTCGATTTTCTCCCGGCGTAGCCTCCTCCACCTTAAACTGCTCAATCTTTAAAACGACGAGAACAGCTGCAGATGTGTGGGTGCGAGTTCTCAGTTAACAGCCGTGTCTCTGCGACTCAGGAAATCCACGGCTTCCTGCACCCAAGAGCGTCCTGCGGTCTCGCTGGCACAGCGCCCCGTACACCAGGGGCTCCTACAGCTACGTGGCCGTGGGCAGCACGGGGGACGACCTGGACCTGCTGGCTCAGCCCCTCCCTGCAGATGGCACCGACGCCCAGGTGCGTGGCCTACCTGGTGTTGGAGGGGGCGCGGGCGCGGGTCTGGCTGCAGAGGCCCCCCTCGGAGCCTCAGAGCTGCAGGAGCATGAGCCAGGGAGGGGTGGGCTGGGACCCCAGACTCAGAAGCCATTTTCTTTTTGAAACTAAGAATAGTTTTTAAATGTATTATTTTTGTGAGAATTATATACATACACAGCTTAAAGAGTCAGAGAATTCTGCAGTTCTCACTAACAAACACAATAAACAAACAGCAGGTGGAGCCCCATTTGCCCTTCCCGGGCTGTGCTCGCAGCTGATTCTGATCGATAAATTTACCGCATGTCTAAAAACATGTTTCTTCAGCCACGTTTTAAGAAACGTTTCCTATGTAAAATGCCAAACACACAAAAGTAGGTAGAACCTTTAAGTGCCCAGCAGACTCCCCCTAAGCCAAGCTTGCTCCCCCCACCCCCCATTCCTGTTAAGCATGTCTCACACAGGACATCGTTTCACCTGGGGGCATTTCGGTGCATGTCTCTAAAAATAAAGACATCCTTGCAAATACTTAACTACGATGCTGAGGGCTGAGGCTCACACCTGTAATCCTAGTGCTTTGGGAGGCTGAGGCAGAAGGTTTGCTGAGGCCAAGAGTTTGAGACCAGCCCGGGCAACATAGTGTAACATAGTGAGACTTGGGCTCCACAAAATAAATAAAGGTAGCCAGGCATGGTAGCGGGCACCTGCAGTCCCAGTGGCTTGGGTTTGGCCCAGGAGGTTGAGGCTGGAGTGAACTGTGACTGTGCCGCTGTACTCCAGCCTGGGTGTCAGAGCAAGACCCTGTCCCAGAAAATATAAAAGTAAGGGGGCGGGTGGATCACGAGGTCAAGAGATCAAGACCATCCTGGTCAATATGGTGAAACCCCGTCTCTACTAAAAATACAAAAAATTAGCTGGGCATGGTGGTGCGTGCCTGTAGTCCCAGCTACTCAGGAGGCTGAGGCAGGAGAATTGCCTGAACCCAGGAGGCGGAGGTTGCAGTGAGCTGAGATCGCGCCATTGCACTCCAGCCTGGGTAACAAGAGCAAAACTCCGTCTCAGAAAAAAAAAAAGTAAAGCATGTATCCAGGATACTGTTTACCCAGTTAAAAATTGACTGGGTAAAAAGTGATTCCTCAGGGTTGCCCAGTATTTAGTCAGTGCTCGGTTTTCCGATCAGCTCATGAGCTTTTTTCAGCTAGCCTGCTTGGAAATGTTACTCTTGACTTTTCAGTTTCCGGTGTTACTGATTGACTTCTCATGATGTGGGATAAGATTTAGCTACTTTCCACCCCTCAGGGCTCTCCCCGCCCTCCTCATTTGTCATTCAGGAGCTGTGGCCAGATCACTCCTCAGTGTTTACAAGATGTTGTTTTCTCTAAACATGTTTACACCTGCGCTCCAGGGTGGAGTAGCTTCTTTTCCCGCCTGCTGGTGGATGCGTGTGAGCTGTGTTTTCCCGTCTGCTGGTGGATGCGTGTGAGCTGTGTTTTCCCGCCTGCTGGTGGATGAGTGTGAGCTGTGTTTTCCCGCCTGCTGGTGGATGAGTGTGAGCTGTGTTTTCCCGCCTGCTGGTGGATGAGTGTGAGCTGTGTTTTCCCGCCTGCTGGTGGATGAGTGTGAGCTGTGTTTTCCCGCCTGCTGGTGGATGAGTGTGAGCTGTGTTTTCCCGCCTGCTGGTGGATGAGTGTGAGCTGTGTTTTCCCGCCTGCTGGTGGATGCGTGTGAGCTGTGTTTTCCCGCCTGCTGGTGGATGCGTGTGAGCTGTGTTTTCCCGTCTGCTGGTGGATGCGTGTGAGCTGTGTTTTCCCGCCTCCTGGTGGATGCGTGTGAGCTGTTCTCCGCCTGCTGGTGGATGCGTGTGAGCTGTTCTCCCGCCTGCTGGTGGATGCGTGTGAGCTGTTCTCCCGCCTGCTGGTGGATGCGTGTGAGCTGTTCTCCCGCCTGCTGGTGGATACGTGTGAGCTGTTCTCCCGCCTGCTGGTGGATGCGTGTGAGCTGAGCTGTGTTTTCCTGCCTGCTGGTGGATGCGTGTGAGCTGTTCTCCCGCCTGCTGGTGGATGCGTGTGAGCTGTGTTTTCCTGTCTGCTGGTGGATGTGTGTGAGCTGAGCTGTGTTTTCCCTCCTGCTGGTGGATGTGTGTGAGCTGTGTTTTCCTGCCTGCTGGTGGATGCGTGTGAGCTGTGTTTTCCTGCCTGCTGGTGGATGCGTGTGAGCTGTGTTTTCCTGCCTGCTGGTGGATGCGTGTGAGCTGTGTTTTCCTGCCTGCTGGTGGATGCGTGTGAGCTGTGTTTTCCTGCCTGCTGGTGGATGTGTGTGAGCTGAGCTGTGTTTTCCTGCCTGCTAGTGGATGCGTGTGAGCTGTTCTCCCGCCTGCTGGTGGATGCGTGTGAGCTGAGCTGTGTTCTCCTGCCTGCTGGTGGATGTGTGTGAGCTGTTCTCCCGCCTGCTGATGGATGCGTGTGAGCTGTGTTTCTCTGCCTCTTGGTGGATGTGTATGAGCTGTTTTTTGTGTGTTTCTCTGCGCAGGCCCAGCTGTCTCAATCGCGGCCCAATTCTAACCCTAGCTCTTCTTTGCAGCTCCAGATCCTGTTTGCAGGGGAAGCCACACATCGGACGTTTTACTCCACGACGCATGGGGCTCTGCTGTCGGGATGGAGGGAGGCTGACCGCCTCCTCGGTCTGTGGGCCCCGCAGGCGCAGCAGCCCAGGCCGAGGCTCTAGCAGGCCAGCCTGCGCTGCTCCTCCGGTGCTGGGGGAGGCTGGGACTCTCGTTTCCTCTGATGATTTCAGCCTGGATTGAGATTTGAGGATGTTAATGAGAGCCTTCTGGTTTTGGTGACTTTCTCAGTTCTTGTGTCTGTCACTGGAGTCTGGTCGGCGCTGACTTGAGCTGAGATGCCGGATGCTCAGAGATGCCGGCACAGAAGGCATTTTGGACCACAGCATCCAGAGCCGCCTTCCCTGCCTCTGCTGCCTTCCATCCTTCCTGCCTTGGGGCTCCTGCATCTGCTGCTGTTGTCTTTGCCTTGCTCCAGGCCCAGGTTGCACAAGGCCCTGTGTCTCCAGCCCCCACAACTACACGTGGCCCCGAATTCTGGGTTCCGTGAACTCTGGGTTCCCTGAACTCTGGGTCCTGTATTGCTTCTCATCCCGCTGCATTCTCATGGCTGCTGCCTGGGATAGCGTAGCTGACAACCCTCCTCTTGCTCATCGACCGATGCTGCATCAGGCACCCACTTCGCAGGGCACTGGGAACATGAGGGGTGCCCTGCTCTGCCCTGAGGCCGGGGGTTTTCTGGCGGAAGTGAATAGATAATAAGGCTTGAAGTGAGAAACAGGGTGCCTGGCCCAGTGGAGTGTGTGGGGTGTGGGCAGTGCTGGGGTGCTGGACCGTGTTGGGGTGAGTGTGCTGGGGTGCTGGGCAGTGTGGGGTGTGGGCAGTGCTGGGGTGCTGGGCCGTGTTGGGGTGAGTGTGCTGGGGTGCTCGGCCGTGTTGGGGTGAGTGTTGAGGTGCTGGGCTGTGTTGGGGTGTGGGCAGTGCTGCGGTACTGGGTGGTGGTGTGAGTGTGCTGGGAGGCCAGGTCCCTGTCTGGCCCCTTCTCACCCTCCTTCCTTCTCACCCTCTGGTCTCCGTTCAAATCGCCCCTTCTAGGGTGTTCCCTGACCCTGAACCTCCCTCCAGAGCCCCAGCCTCCCTCTGCAGCCAGCAGCCCCACCTGCCGATGCTGCGTCACTAGATTGATCTCTCAGGGGTTACCTGCCCATTAGATGCCTGCGAGAGAAATTCAGATTTCACAGGTTGTATTGTGGTTTTATGCTCCTGGGACCATGAGGGAATGCAGCTTCCTTCATTCAAGTACAAAAATCTTTATCATTGACAGTTAGGGTTTCATCAATTCTGTATCCCAGGGACAAAGGCAGCAAGACCCAGGCTGCCCCCTCTGGGTGTGAGGGACTGGCTTGGTGAGGAGGGGGCTGGGAGGCACTGACCTAGCAGGAGGTCCTGACCGTCTTGCTCATCCCAGAAACCACCTGGGCGTCTTCTGTCTTCCCTGGAGGGGCCACGTCTCTCATGCCCAGGAATGTTGACAGCTGGGCCTTAGGGTATTAGGTGGTTTGAGAACATCGAAACCATGGCAATACTTTTTACTTAGAATTTGAGCATGTTTGCTATTTCAGTAGCTTGTTTAAAAAATTCCAGTAGAGTAATACTCTCGTAAAGCAGTGTGCAATTGAGGAGTTGCTGACTGCTGATTTAAAGTTGAAATCTGCCTACATTTATGTCTAGTCTTGGGCAGTGGAGAATATTTCAGACTCATCCTATTAGTTTACTTTAGCAGAACTGCAGTCAGTATTTGGAAATGGTTTGTTATATTAAACCCTGAAGTACTTGAGGCCGTGCATGGTGGCTCATGCCTGTAATCCCAGCACTTTGAGAGGCTGAGGTGGATGGATCACTTGAGGTCAGGAGTTTGAGACCAGCGTGGCCATCATGTTGGAACCCCATCTCTACTAAAAACACAAAATTAGCCAGGTGTGATGGTGGGTTCCTGTAATCCCAGCTACTTGCAAGGCTGAGGTGGGAGAATCCCTTGAACTCCGGAGGTGGAGGTTGCAGTGAGTGAGATGGAGCCACTGTACTCCTGGGCAACAGAGTGAGACTGTCTCAAATAAAACAAAAACCCTGATGTACTTAAAAAGAAAATGAAGAGATTACATTTGTAAGGTAAACTTAAAGTAAATGAAAGATTTTAAGCAAATTTATAAAAAGATTGCTAAATTTTGTTATACTTACTCAGGATATGCTTAAGGGAGAACGAGGATTTTTAAAATTTAATGAAAATAAATCTGCAAATTACCTAAAACCCCCACAGGCGTAGGGCCGCCTTTGCTCGGCAGTTCTCGCTTGCAGTCACGGGTGTCCCTCTGTGGTCCAGGCCTGCAGGTGTTGGCTGTGACCTCCGTGCTGGGATGAGCCGTGCTCCCGGTGCAAGCAAGGGTGCCCAGCAGGGGCCATGGCCAGCACCGTGGTAGCAGACGACTGGCCACTGCAGCTGCAGGATTTGCAGGCCGTCACGCTTTGCCAGCCATGAAGCATAAGGAGCCTGAAGTAAAGCAAGTTTTTCAAGTCTGCCAAAATGTGCCTTCAGTGGTGGCTATTACGGAGGTGGGTTTGAACCCAGTGACAATACTAGGTGTAAGCCCTACTGCCAATAAAGGGAAAATAAGACGCTCATCAACAAATTATGCTTTTAAATCATCCTGACAAAGGACGGCCTCCTCATATAGCAGCCAGAATCAGTGAGGCTCAAGATCTACTAGAAGGTCAAGCTAAAAAATGAAGTAAATGTATGATGAATTTTAGGTTCATATTAGTTTATGTAAATGGACCCTAAGTTTTTATAGTAAAATAAAAACTTAAGAGCTAAAAGAAAACCCCACAAAACCCAGGAACCCTGGGAACTCCCGGGTCCTAGCCCCGCCTCCTAGCCCCGCCCCGGCGCCCTGGCGTCCCGCCCACCATTCACCCCTCCCCCTGGCGGCGAGGGTCACGCCTACTCCGGGCTGAGCAGAGGGCGGGGGCAACGTCGTGCGCACGCGCGGGCCGTGCCGCGGGATCCTGGAGAGCCGGAAGCCGGCAGAACCGGAAGCCCCGTGGCGAGTCGCGGCGCTGCCGAGGAAGTCCGCCTCCGCCGCGGGAGAGTTTCCGTGGACTGCGCCGCCATGAGGCTGGCCCCGCGCGCGCTGTGCAGCGCCGCCCAGGCCGCCTGGCGGGAGAATTTCCCTGTGCTTGGTCGCGACGTGGCGCGGTGGTTCCCGGGCCACATGGCCAAAGGTGAGGCCCGGCGGGAAGGGGCAGGGTCCCGCCCACCCCCGTTTCGGTCCTGGGCTGCCCCGCTCGGCCTTGGCTGGCCCCGCCCCTCTGCCTCGGTTTCCCCTCCTTCCCCGCTTTCCGCGGCTCCCGGAGCCACCCGGGCCTCTTCCCCTGCGCAGCTGCGGGAAAGGCCCTTTCCCGAGAGTGCCCCCGCGGAGCCGCCCCGGCGCTCTTGTCCTCGGCGGTGCGGGCCCCGGGCCTGCTTGACCCTGACCTCTGGCCCGCCGCCCGGTACTCTGTTCCAGCAAGTGCCTTCTGCCCCTTTAATCCCCCGAAGCCTCCGTTTCCACAAGTTCTTGACAACTTGTGGGCTTTTCTGAGGTTTGTGGGGACTGAATGAAATAATCGGTGTGAAGGCACCTGTTCAGCTTTGACTCATGTTGAGTCGTTCTTTTCTTCTGCTTAAACGTCCTTGGTAATTTCTTAGTGTTTTGTTTTTTTTTTTTGTCACAATTCGGCCCCAAGAAGACCTCTGGGGCCGGCCCAGCCCCTCTGGGTGTTGAGATGGCCACTCCTGCGTCGGCTCCGCGTGCACTGAGGGCGGAGGAGGAAGAAGGGCCGGCGTGGCTGTCCTCGGTCCTCCGAGAGCACTGGAGGGGAAGGAGCTTTGTTATCTTGGTTGTATTCCTGCTTAGGGGACCCTACAAGGTGGCAGGGGCGAGTCACTCTATTTTATAGCCCAGATTAAGACCCCTGGAAGTTAAATATTTCACCTGTTGTCACCCACGAGTCAGGTGGTGGAGACTGCATCTGCGTTTTGACACAAGGCCCACCGTCGGGCAGGGCACCAGTCCATCTCCCATTCCAAGGGTGTGGAACTTGGAGGAGGAGCTCAGCGGAGGTCATTACTGAGTGCGCTTCACCCAGATGTAGTCTTTTTAGGTTATTTATGGCGGCATGTCATTCTGGACGATTCACCTTGAATTGATCACTCTTGAAAGGTGGTGAGCTCCTTTGCTGAGGCATCCTTCTGTTTTCCAGGGCTGAAGAAGATGCAGAGCAGCCTGAAGCTGGTAGACTGTATCATCGAGGTCCACGATGCCCGGATATCCTTTCACAGCAGGGAAGGCTGTGTAGGGATGAGGGCCCCACAGGGTCGTGGGGTGAGCCTTATGCTGTGCTGAGGCGCAGGATCCGAGAAAGAGATAGGACACAGAAGTACAAGGAAATCGCAGCTGGGCTCGGGGCCACGCCACCTGTAAGCAGAGTCAGGCGAGGCCCCGAATGGCCAGAAGCCTGAGTATTTATTGTGTATAGGTTAGGGGGCAGGGCAGTGAGTGAAGTCATCTTTAAGGGTAGTGATAGGGCGTGAGCAATAAAACATGGGGTCCACCGCCATTAGGTCACCTAGGCCAGGAGGTGGACAGTGCGCAGCAAGAGGCCCGTTCCCATGAAGGCAAGGGCCGTGCGCAGTAAGGTGTCCACCCCCATTAGGTTACTTAGGCATGGAGGTGGGCTGTGTGCAGTGAAGAGGATGCTTTAAGTCACACAGCAGTGACAGAGCTGTCAGGGTTACCGCCACCTGCTGGCAGCTTCCAGTGGGTTCTGTGGGGAGATGCTTTTCGAGCAGCACAGTAGCAAGAGCTGATAGAGTTCACAGTCACCAAGGTGGATTGCCGGTCTGAGGGCGGCCTTCCACAAGAACTGGAGCGGGGTCCTACAACTCCTTTATCAGGAGGAGTGGCTCTCGCCCCAAGCCTGCCATACAGCGGGTATCTCTTCGATACTGAATGCTGCCGCCTGGGCCGTGGGTTCTTGTCCTGGCATAACTGTTTTCCCTTAAATCATGCTCTGCACTGTGTCCGCTCTAGGCATTCCTCCGATTATGAACTAAGATATAATTATAGGTATATATGTAGGGAAATATTCTGTAGGCACTCATACTATCAGCTATTATATGATTATAAGTAGAGGATTGTATAAAGGGATTCTTCAAGCCCTAATTCTATAAACTAATACAAGATTATGTAAA